TTCATGCATTTTCGTGAAATTTTTCTAATTTATGAGAAAAAAGCAGTGTACATGGATATAGTGAAGAGTGTGCGCAATGCCATTTTTGTGCAATTCTGGGACGTTTTTTTAAGTAAAAATAAGTCAACGTGTACATGGTTTAGTGATATTTTAATTAAATGATAGTTATTTTGTGAATTTTATGTTTGTAGGAATTTAGTATACGTTTCAGTTTAAAATAACAAGAAAAATTTCCTTTCTGGCTTACAAAGTCTAGAAATGAAGAAAATAATACCGAGCAAAAGAAGGAAAGTATGCCACAAATGCAGTTTTTTCCCTCCACTAATTGAGATTCTCTGCAGGCATATCACTTTCAAACCTGCTGGCTAGGGAGTGGTGTGGTGGCCAGTGACACTGAATAAATTAGCATATTCATGTTGACCAAGATAATATTTTCAAATCTTAAGTGGTTCTGATGGGACTAAAATTTTTCTATGTAATATAAAGAATAAATGCAGCCACAGAATTCACAGAATTTTTTTGCATTTTCGTGCAAATTTTTGTAATTTATGAGAAAATAGCAGTGTAGATGGATAAAGTTAAGAGTGTGTGGAATGCCATTTTTCTGCAATTCTGCGATTTTTTTTAAGTAAAAATAAGTCTACGTGTAAATGGTTTATGTGCATGTGCTATTCTGAAAAATGCGCAAGGAGTTTGCGATTGTGCACTTTTTCCCAATTTTGCAGTTAATATTTGTCATGATTAAGCAGTTTTGTTACATAAAATTTCTAGAATAAGTGTAATTCGGCTAGTAGATTGTTGGAAAGAGTGTTGAGTAAATAAAAAACCGACGAAAAAAAAATAGAGGGTTGCTGTAGCAGATAGAGTTAGATAAAAATAGAGTTGCTCGCCAAATTTTCGCCAAAAAATCGCCAAGTTACCGTAATCCAAAGATCAACCAAAGCTAATTCTCTCAGTAATTATCTACATTAATTTCAAGTTAAATCTTAATTTGGAATACAAGTTTAAATGCAAGAATTATTTCAATTTGTTTGAATAGCTTACTCAGAAATTATGTAAAACCGCAGTGCTTTACTTCGCTAGTGCATTTTCATTAGAACTGATGAATTTAACCCTTGATTTTGCCTTTTCTATATTTTCACCTTTGGGTGAGAGATGTGATTGCATCCTAATTAACTTAATTACTGCGAATAGGCATAAAATTGCACTATGTGGTAAAAATTCTATATAATTGTACACCAGTATTAAAAGAAACAAATCTGATAAGAAATGGCTGCTACTTGTTTTGAAAATGAGGCGTAAAAGGTTACCAGCGAGGATATTCTCTTTGGCATCAGTTGTACCATTATTGGCAACATTATCGCCTGTGCCGGCAAAACGGAAAAGTACCCTCTTCTGTTATCAGGACTGGATTCAGAAATATATACACATGTACATGTATACATGTGTATATGTATGTATGCATATACACACATATGTTCATACATGAACACATAGTTGCATACATGAACACATATATGTCCGAATCCAGGCTGCATTTATTCTTTAGATTACACAGAAAAATTTTAGTCCCATCAGAACCACTTAACATTTGAAAATATTATTCTGGTCAACATGAATATGCTAATTTATTCAGTGTCACTGGCCACCACACCACTCCCTAGCCAGCAGGTTTGAAAGTGACATGCCTGCAGAGAATCTCAATTAGTGGAGGGAAAAAACTGCATTTGTGGCATACTTTCCTTCTTTTGCTCGGTATTATTTTCTTCATTCCTAGACTTTGTAAGCCAGAAAGGAAATTTTTCTTGTTATTTTATTTATATACTTAGTTACTTACTGAATAAGTGGTCTGAAGTTTCCAATATTGAGCATTTGTATTTCAAACTCTATATTGTATCATTCCTTTCTCCATTTATCAGTCCACCAGCAGCCAAGCGGTAATGTCGCTAAACACTGGTAGTTCGGTCCGAGGTTCGAATCCCGCGAACGGGATGGCTGCATGAGTGTTTTTGCGGTTTTCCCCATGTGTAACGTGTATACGAGCCAGTTCCCTTAGAAAGTCCTCCACGAAGGCATCCCTCCCCTTAGGCAGATAGAACTAGTGTGCTTTGTCATAATTAAATACACCACACCACACCACAACATCTCCATTTATCAAAACTTTTACAAAATGTACTTCGTACTTTGGTTTAATTTTTTAATGAATCCAATAAATTATAGTTCCAAAATAAAATAGTATGTTATATGTAAATTGTTGAATAGTTCTGACTATAAGACTAAATAAAAATAATGGCTCAGAATAATCGATGTCTAGTTACTCTTACATTAACATTGTGTAGAAACCCACAGTTGTGCTAAATCATAAAGAATATTCTACAGGGTATCTCAAAATAATGCATAAAATTTTGAAAACTGAGTACCTCACTAATTAAAGCATACAGGTACACACTTTTTTGTGCATAATATTGTACTGAAAAACATCTTCAAAGGTACTATCACAGTCATGGGTCATAATCAAAAGAAGAAATCAAGTAAAAGGATACCATGGCCAAGGGATGATAACAATCAAAAGATTTCGAAGGGGCTATACGACCCCCTTCAAAATCTCAATCAAGTTTTTAAGCCCTTTCCTATCTGGGCAGCACATGAAAGTAAACTATGAATTTTTAAAACTTATGCATAATAACTTCAGCATGAGTAATGACATACTAATTCAGTGTATGATTAAATGCTTCTATTTTATTCATAATATGGAAGGATTACAATAAAACTCATTATATAACAGTTCAAGAGCATACACTTTATAATACATATTTCACATAAAATCAGTAAGTTTATAATATTTATAAATTTATATTATATAATATTTGATAATAGTCTGCATAAGCATTCATTCTTCAGTATTTATTTTTTAATGTATTTATTGTCATAGCATTTAAATGTTTCTGCCGTGCTGAAGTACAAACCTTTAGAACACTAATTACAACAAATATTGCAGGATTTAAAGCATTTTAATGCTACATAAAAAAAGAGGGGAATCCTGATTTCCTTAATTTTATATAGTTTCAATACTGTAGTCAAAAATTTACTACTTTCATTTAATTTCCAAGTGTATATTCATAGCACAAAATTACACGCAAATTTTGGCTGATCTTTAGAATATGGTAACTGGTAGTTTGGCGACATTTTGGAGGCGATAAAGGTTACTACCTGGGACTTTGGTAATAATGTGAGCAGTACTCAGTTCCGATTACGCATTATTTTGTGTGAGGGAAATGAGAGATCATGGGATATGTCATGTGATATTAATGGACGAATTACGGTTCTTTAATCGGAAAAGGGGGGAAATTTTGTATTTGGCTTTATTCTGTGTTGTGTGAAACAGTGTTCGTTAATTTTTGGATCCCATGGCCCTAACTAAAGTGAATTCGAAATGGGTATTTAGTGGGATTGAAAGGGGTAGTAATAAGTGTTTCTTTAAGGTTGTGCGAGATAGAAGTAAAGATGTTTTATTAAGTTATTTATTTTACCTGGTACCTTGCTGTGAACTATAAGTATGATTTTAAAGATCCTGAAACAGAAATAAGAAAAGTTTATCGGACACGTAATCAAGATTCTGAAGAAGATTAGGTAAGTTAGTATTTTTAATTATTTGAGGATATTATTTTTATGCATTGTTCTAAATGTAAGGTGGAAGTAAAGTAATTTGGTATTATTGGGAAAATTGTTATTAGCAATGATTTAGTTTAAAGTAATTAGGATTGTAAGCTAATTTTTATTAATTTAATGTATGTGCTCATTTATATTTTAAGTAGTGTTTTTGAATTTAATTATATTTTTAATTAAATGATAGTTATTTTGTGAATTTTATGTTTGTAGGAATTTGGTATACGTTTAAGTTGAAGTAAACGTGCATGGAAATAATTTAAATATTTGACACTAAGTATTTGTAATGTTTGCGGTATGAATTCGTTGGTGACGTTTATAATATAATAGATGATTTAGAGGTAAAAGTTTTTGGATATTTTATTTATTTTATATGTGGAAATGTTCATATTTGGAAAGGGTATATACTTTTTCGCGATCAGGTAATTTCATATATGTTCTTTTACCGGGTTTAAAGATTCAGAAAATTGTCATGTATTTTCGTGAAATTTTTCTAATTTATGAGAAAAAAGCAGTGTACATGGATATAGTGAAGAGTGTGCGCAATGCCATTTTTGTGCAATTCTGGGATGTTTTTTTTAAGTAAAAATAAGTCGACGTGTACATGGTTTATGTGTATGTGTTATTTTGAAAAACGCGTAAGGAGTATGGTATTGTGCACTTTTTCCCAATTTTGCAGTGAATATTTGTCATGATTAAGCAGTTTTGTTAGATAAAATTTCTAGCATAAGTGTAATTCGGCTAGTAGATTGTTGGAAGAAGTGTTCAGTAGATAAAAAGAAAAGAAACATGTCTTTACTTCGTGAAGACAAAATGGCGGCGGGGAAAAAAAATATAGGGTTGCTGTAGGAGGAGAGTTGGTCGCCAAAAAATCGCCAAGTTACCATAATGTAAAGATCAAACCAAATTTTAAATAAAATGATACTATTCAGGAACGGCATCTTTATCTTTCATTTACTTCCAAATAATATGAGAGATGTAAAATTTAATTTATGTTTCCTTGTTTTGTTCTATTTCGGAGAATTACAGTAAGAGTCGTGTTTTCTTAGTGGCATTCCTCCTTGTTATATTCTTGCAAATTTAACAACTTACATATAAAGAATCGGATCAAGAGAAAGAAATTAAACAAAAAAATAGCATTTCAATAAATTTAATCAATCTTAAAATATCAGTAATATGCACTTAAACAGAGTATCAAAATTTGTCACCAATAAAAAAAAAATTGCCTTTCAAAACATTTAGTTTTATCAATCATAAAATATAATTTTCAGTAATATGCACTTAAACAGAGTATCAAAATTTGTCACCAATATGCCATGAAATACTTTACGTACAACAAAAAGAAGGCGTTTCCCTTAAAAAACGTCAACTAAAGAATGATAACTGAAATGAATAAAAAATGTTGATAAACCACATGCTGACTTCCATTTTAAATGCTGATGGACATATTTATTACTTTCATTAATACGAAATTACACTCATCTTAAACTTCAAATGCTTTCATCCTTTTAAACACAAAAAACAACAACTGCCATGTTTTAGTCTTTTAGCTTGCCGACGGAAGGATAATAGAAGCATGCCATTTGTATTTCGCCAAAATATCCTTGAAGAATAGCATACATATAGAAGGCTTGCACTGAAGTTGTTAAAATTACTTCACGTTCTCCAGATTAAAATTCCTTCCAGCATCTAAAGAATTAACTAGAGAAGTGAAAACTATAATACTTCGTGAAAGCGAAAATGAAAATAATTATGTGAAGTTGAACCTCTACCTGATTATTATCTTTATTTTGATATAATTTAGTAAATCGCGCTTGGCAACAGTTGAGTTTTTACATCTACGCTTTCGAGTTTGTTCTATTGTTTACTTTTTTCGTTTTAAGTAATGAGAATAATGACTTTTTGAGATGTTTTTCATGAGTATTTAAAAACTGATGAGTAATATTTTATGCCATTTATGTTCTGAGTATTGCTTTGAGGTGTCAAAGCTAAAACTAACACTTGTAAATAGAATGTAATATTACTGTTTGTGTTGTGACGAGATGTCTTTCATTGGATAATTGATTGTATACTCATTTTCCATCATAATTCTTCTGATATCGAAGGTAAAACGGGATATCTGGCGTCCAAGCGACAGGACTACGGCTGCATTTTTAAGAGTGAGTGAAAAAATATTTTATATTTTCTTTTATTCTTTGTGCATTATGGATATTGTTTTTGAAAGATAGAAAGCAACTTAGAAGGTTGTTTACTCGAGCATGTAATACTTTTGATGAGGAAGAAATCAAATTAAATCGTGCTGATAAAATTAATAAATTAAAGCTAATTGAAGAGAAAGCTTTATTAATGATAGCATGTGAAGAGAAATATAAACATTTGTTGTATTCTGAAAATACTTCCGATACCGAAATAGAGAAAGCGGTAGATGAGTCAGAAATGTATATTGATCGATGGAGATCTTTAAAACAGAAGCTAGAAACACTAGTGAGTGAACAATTATCTTCTAAAAATGAAAATTTGAACATTGTTTCGCAGCCGAACACTTTATTACGTTACCCAAAAATAAAATTACCTACTTTTGACGGTAGTGTACGAAATTGGCTATACTTTTGGGGTCAGTTTCAAAAAATTGATGAGGACATTAATATCGATTTTCACGATAAATTTTCGTATTTATCTCAAGCAATGGAAAAAGGCAGTCCTGCTGAAGAATTAATTAAGAGCTATCCCCCAGGGGGTAATAGTTACGAAAAAGCTTTAAAACAGCTGAAAATGCGTTTCGGCAGAGAGGAACTATTGATTCAGGTATATGTCAGAGACTTATTAGTATTAGTTCTTCAAAAACAGAACACTTCTAAAAATTCATTAAGAAAATTGTTCGATCAACTTGAGAGTAAACTGCGATCACTTGAATTATTAGGTGTTACTAGGGAAAAATATGCTGCAATGCTTTTTCCACTAGTTGAATCATCATTACCCGAAGAAACTCTTGTTGCTTGGCAGCGCTATAGATCTGCTCATCGTAGAATTCGAGAAGTGAATTTAGATGATTCAGACGAAAGTAAAACTATAATTGAGAAAAGTGATTTAGAATGCATTTTAGAATTTTTACAAGCCGAAGTCGAAGCTGAAGAACGCATTTTTTTAGCCTCTCAAAGTTTCAACACATCGAAACCAAAAGCAGAAGTAAAACATAATCTTTCCTATGAGAAAAAGGTAATAGAGAACAAATGTAAGAGTAGAAAGTTTTCAAATATACCTAGTGCAACAGACCTTCTAACTTCATCTCAAGTATCAAAACAGTGTATATTCTGTTCTAATTCACATTTTTCTGGAGACTGTCTAAAAGTAAGAAAAATACCTTTAAGGCAGAGGGAGTCACTGGTTCAACAATCTCACAAGTGTTTTTTATGTTTGAAATCTGGACATTCAGTCAAGGATTGTAACTTGAAAGCTGGTTGCTTGTGTTGTGGTAAAAAACACCATATTCTTCTGTGTAGAAAGATGCACCAAATAACTATGTCAAAAAACGAAGAATCACCTGAAGTTGAAAAGAAAACTGAGATTAGTGCTGAAGTGGATCAAGCTCTTTCCAATTTATCTTCTACTCCGGACGTAATGCTTCAAACATTCAAAGTTATAATTAGAAGTAATGGGAAAAAAACGCGTCGCAAGAGCTATTATCGATACTGCTTCACAGCGATCATATTTATTAAGAAGTACAGCTAAAGAAATGAACTATGAACCTCAGAGTTGTGAATATTTACAACACTCTTTATTTGGAGGGAAGGACTCAGGGATATGCAAGCATGATGTATACACTTTATATTTATCGAGTGTGCATGGGAATTATAATTGCAACTTTAAAGTTCTTAGTCAACAAATTATTTGTAAGTCAGTGCCACCTACTGTCAACAAGCTTTGTCTGAAAGAGTTAGCAGCCTGTAATATAAATATTGTGGATGATTGTCAAAATCCTATTGAGATTCTTATTGGGGCTGATGTAGCTGGAAAACTCATGACAGGTGGTCGTCGTGAGTTGCCTTGTGGTCTCGTAGCTATTGAGACCAAATTTGGATGGTCAGTTATGGGACGAATGCCGAATACTTCGAAAAGTGAGTTTTCATCATCGTTCTTAGTTACATCCTTGTTATCTACTGTGGAGACCATAACAGATCTATGGACTTTGGACACACTTGGGATCACTGACCCATCAGTCAAGAAAAACCAGACTGAACTACAAGAAGCTGCTCGGTTACATTTTCTAAATACAGTTCGTATAGTCGATGATCGTTTCGAGGTTGATTTGCCCTGGTTGGAATATCATCCACCACTAACAGACTATTTTGACTTAGCCGAGAGAAGACTGAACAAAACTGTTAAACGTCTTAAAATCGAGTCCAATTATGAAGCTTATGGAGATGTTTTCAAGGAATGGCTAGAAGAGGGAGTAATTGAAGAGGCTGATAAAAATTATCAAGGGCAAGTTCTTTACCTTCCTCATCGAGAAGTTATCAAAAAGAATAGCACTACAAAACTCCGACCGGTATTTGATGCTTCGGCCAAAGTAAAGGGATTTCCTAGTCTTAATGACTGCTTAGAAAAAGGCCCAAATCTAATAGAACAGCTTCCGAGTATTTTAACACGCTTTCGAAAAGAAAAGATTGGTGTTATTGCTGATATACGAAGAGCCTTTCTTCAAATAAGTGTTTCACCTACTGATAGAGACTTTTTGCGGTTCTTATGGCTTGATAGTGATGGTCAACTGAAAGTGTACAGGCACTGCCGTGTAGTTTTTGGTGTAGCAAGTAGCCCTTTTCTTCTAAACTCTACTATTCAGCTTCACCTACAAACTGTTTTAGAGAAAATAGAAACCGGTGAATCCTTATATACGAAAGGTGTCATTCAAAAACTTATGCATAGTTTTTATGTTGACAATTGTGTCAGTTGTGTTAAAAATGAAGAAGAACTCAATCATTTTATTAGTGTATCAACTGAGGTAATGGCTGAGAGAAAATTTGAGCTTAGAGGGTGGGAGTTCAATGATATTAATGCTGATGCTTCTGCTGATACAAATGTGCTCGGTTTAATATGGAATAAAAAATCTGACACTCTAAGAATAAATACTGGTAGTATAAAAGAGTTATGTTTTGAAAAAGTGACTAAGCGCTTAATCTTATCTACAGCTCATAGATTGTTTGATCCTCTTGGTATATGTTGTCCTGTTATCCTTATCCCTAAGTTATTACTTCAAGAAACTTGGAAGCAGAAGATAACATGGGATGAAGAAGTTGATACCTGTACGAGAACTACATTTTTAAAATGGTTGAAAGCTATCTGGAAAAGATCCATTTTCCAAGATATTTTGGTTCAAGGAGTACGAGTGAAAATACTTCAGTACATATTTTCTGTGATGCCAGTAA